CCATGTAGTCTGGTAGGTATGAATGTTTTGGAGGAACATCCTGTCCCCATCCTTAAGATGAACATTGGCATCACATTACTTATAATGAGTGGCGACCATTCTACAGCAATGAATCCAGACTTTTATCACCATGTAAATAAAATGGGCACGTCAAGGTACATTACAATATTTGTGTGAGCTCTGTGGACACTTATCACATGAGACCCTGAAGGCATACTTGTGTGTTATACACTGTCTAGTGATGTCTAGACAGAATGAAACATAGGAAGATAACCATGAGAAGTCAGAAAGTATTACTAGAACACACCACTAATCAGTGTACCAAACAAAACATTCCCCAACTACATACACATACTCCGGAAGGAGGACAACAGGAGCTGTATGATAATGGGTACAACTTTACTACTGTATCAAAAAATCATGTAAATTCACCAAGAATAAAATTCCAGATATCTATCAATAACTAAAACAGCAACATAGATCAGGAGGTTAGATGCCAGCTTCTCATGGAGCCTTGGGTTCAGTCCCAGGTGACTTCATGTGAGATATATGGTGGGTACAGTAGCACTGGAGTATGTATTTTTACCCGAGTATCTTCGGGTTTCTCCTGCCAATCATAATTCCACCATTCCTCCATGCTCATCTATTGCTGCCCCCTCTGAGATGGGCAATAGTCCAGATACGCAGCACATTACCACATCCTCAGACTTAATTTTTTTGGGGAGGGGGGGGCCTTCATCTCTGTCCAACAACTGGTCTGGTTACAGAGTAACAATGTGAAGTCTTTTAATGCTGCAAAATAAAAATACTTTGTGAGTAACCAATGAAAGCAATTCATTCTACACTTTAAAACCATCTGCAGAATTCAGCAAATTCTTGATTACAGGATGCATCAATCAACATTACTAATACAGAAGTTTTATTTTTTTCTTCAATGAAAGAAGACAAAAGATAATAACCATAATAAAAAAGTCATAAATATTTATGGTTTCAAACCGAGTAACAACATTTTCATAAGCTTTATATACATTAATATTTCATTCAAACGAAAGACACGAGTTTGGATGCATGTATGTCATACATTTATGAAAATACATCAAAGATAGTTTAACTATAATATCTATACAGTTAACTTTCAAACAGGTCGACTATGATGCAAACCTAGTTATCGTGGCATCTGTCAGGCTGTAACAACTTTGGACACTATCCACCAAGAGTTATACTAACATAGCAACATTTTGAAAACTGGTTCTGTTTCAGTCTTCCATCAAGAGGGACACATAATGTGATGGGGGTCTGTTGGACAGGGCAAGTCTCAGCAAGTCCAGTGACTGATGAGACAAAAAATGAAGCCAGTTCTAAAAACATTGCTTCTTCAGTGAAGAAACCCTAGGAAAATGATAGTGTCCAAGGCGATTAAAATGAACTATGATGCACTGTCAAAAACATTCAGAAATGAAACACATTTTCATCTTCTGAATAGCTGTCATGTTTACAAGTTAACAGCTCAGATATTAAATGTGATTACTTCAAAATTATAAGGTCAGATCTCATATGACATTACCTACATGTTTAGAAAGACAGACATGTCTTTCCACTTGGAAATGTCATAAACTGTTACTTTCAGTTGTTGCCAGTGAAAGCTGGCAATTACAAATTAATTTTCATTTATCTTGTCCAATTCGCAGTGTCTGCACCATCATCCCTACCTCTAGCTCACATGTGTAGCGATAAGCAGAGTATCTAAGGAAACAGAGAGTATTTGAGCAAAGAAAGATACTTATCTTAACCAAGGTTATGCTATGTAGCACTGAATGGTATGACCACTGAGGATGATGAAGTGGAAAGGATGCGGAAGGAACTGGTTGTGGCCTACTGTAAAGTGCTAATTCAGCATTTTCCTGGAGGGACTGATGAAAACGGCAGCCCCCCAAATACAAAGGAGCAGCGCTAAGCACTGACTGCAACAAGCAGTTTAGCACATCATATTTATAGAATGAAGTTATACTATTCAGATGTAGGCTGTCTGAGCCCCCAGATACGGTCACTGTTGAGCTTTCTTGCCTCTGCCCATCTCAGCAAAGGTGCAGAATCCATTTCTGGGGTGTCCCCCTATAGAGCAGATTGTTACCCACAACCGCAGTGTGATCATGAAACTCATGATCAGCATACCCACTACACCTTAACAGGGTGTCCTACAGATGTGCCTGTATTTATCTCGGTATAAACTGTAACAGGATGGCTGAGGAAAAATCTGTGCCAGTAACCCAGAGGGGTTGATAGAAATGACCAGAAGACAAGGAAGAAGACGTAAGAAGATGCTGGATGACCTTGGGGACAGAAGAGGATATTCTCATTTGAAGGAGAAAGCATTAAGTGGAGGAACTGTTTTGGAAGAGACTGTGGACCTGTCGTCTGACAGATTACTGATGAATGAAAACGAACCCAAAATTTAAACATGGCTGCCAATCTGCATAGTACAGGGGGCCTTAAAATCCCTATTACCAGATAATGAGAGTTAATACATTGTGGTGCTCAATTTATGTGAAACGTCATATAGAATATTTCCACATTGAATGGCATGCTTGGAACTTCATGATGGGTCAGCAGTTCCAGGTTTCCTTTTGGGTAACTGGATGTACCTCTGTGCCTTTTGTACTAGGAATAAAAGCAATAAACAGATTAAATTAAAAGTTTTATCTAAAACAGAAGAAACCACTACTTGTGATACAGATACAATCTGTTTCCATACACGAATGAACTACTAAAAAAAAGGTGTCAATGAATACAAGCAAAGACATGACACTTGGCACACATCACAATATGGCAGTAAATTCATTATGCTGGTTGCAGAAAGCTTCCAAAAGAGGACAGAAGAGGATTAAAAATTTGGTCACTAGCCCCTGCAGTGGGGGCTACATGAGACTCTAAAATCCATATTTCCTGACAGTAACAGTTAATAATGTGCAGCTGAAGACAATGGTGAATGTTACAAAATGGCAGATGGTTAGGTTATAGACCACGGTTATGGTATTTAGGATACCCAGCTGGTATTAATGGCCAAAATCACGAAGGATTTCAACCACAATAACCACCCATGGGACCTTCTGAATATTAACTTACTTGGTTCCACAGTTCAGGCAGAAAGTCTAGATCTGTTCTCTCTTGTACTTTGCTCATCTTATCTGCATCTTTGATACACCATTTCAATTCACTGTCCTAACAACTCCAAATCAGTGATTTCATCATCTTTCAATTCATAAATTACTTACAATTACTAATCAGTAAGTTTTACAATATGTAGAGTCCTGTATACATATTAATTATGTATGTAATTATGTATCTTCTGGCTAGAGAAGAATCTTCTTGTATTGAAAATTCTGCAAATATTTAAATATGACAAGACATCAGCCTTATTTCTGACAGGAATTAAGGTTCACAGAAGTAGAGGCATCTTTCTGTTGGTTTCTTATTTCCCAGTAAATTTTTAATTCATTGAGGATCAACCCAGAATATACTCATGTCCACCTAGGGTGTCCAAATATATACCCATGTCTATTAACATGTCTGCTGGGCCAATCCCAAATGTACCAACATCTATCAATAATGCCCATTGGTCCATTCCTGAATATACTCATTTCCATTTTACTTCTTTCTTCATATCAACACAGATCACTCAATTTGTATAACATGTTCTCTGAACAAGTGAATCTTCATGTCTGTTCCAAAAATGTAAGCAGAAGTTGCAGTTATGTTCCAGTTGAAATCAGAAGAATAACAACAGCTTAAGTGTGTTGTGGGGTGTACGTATTTACCTGAAGAGAGAAAAAAAAAGTGGAAGTAACTGGGTTGACCAAAGAATGAACCAACTGTATTAGTGAAACCTTGATCTGCAGAGAGAACATTGTGGCCACATGAACATCTGAGGGGATAAAGAACCAGGGACAATGAAATCTGGATTTTTAATACATGAAAAAGTGTGTATGTACATATATATGTATGTATGTACTTAACATATGTATGTATATACAAATGAATGAATGAAATGTTTAAGGTTGTTATTATCATACCCATAAACAGGAAGTAGCCACACCACGAACTACAAATTTCACTTCTGCTTTACTACATGTTAACTCTTTGACTGGCGCGGGCGTGTTTTAACGCCAGGGTGATGCCAGCCGTTCCCTGGCGTTGGTGTGTTCTAGCGCTTTGAAAATCTCTTCCCTTATTTGCTCTCTTGGCTCTCATCAACCAAAGACATATATATGATAGTTTTTGTGCATGGTTGTAAAGAACCCTTGTAAACTTTGTGGGGGTCTATATTACTGTCAGAACCCTCCGAGAAGGAAAAGTTCAAAAAATATTTCACATTCATTCAGTTTCACCATGGCTTCTCGCAGCAAGTGTCGGCGTGTTCCTACAGACCAGCTGGAAAGTGTTGTGAAGGAGATTTGTGCTGATGATGATAGTGGCGATGAAATAATGATTCCTGAATTGGATGAAGTTGATAGTGACAATAATACAGTGACAGACAATGATCCACAAGACAGTAATCATGAACATTTAGCTACCACGAATGCGGTGCCTGACACGCCTATCTCATGGACGTACAGAGACACTGTACCAATAATAGTTCCATTTACTAGTAGTTCCAGGATCAGAATTGATATAACACATAAAATGCACCCCTTTTCATGGATAAAATTTTTTCTGGATGATGACTTAGTAACTCACATTACAACTGAAACCAATCGCTATGCTCACCAGCACTTCAACACACATGAGTTAGCTCCTCACTCTCGAGAACTCAATTACAAATATGTCACATCAGATGAAATCTGGACATACTTAGGAATTGTGTTCATGACAGGAATCGACAAACGCCCTGAAATTGAAGACTATTGGTCCACTAGGCCCCTATTTCACACTCCATGGTATGGACAAAAGATGTCTTTGCGGCGGTTCCAACAGATTTCAAAATTTCTTCATTTTGCTGACAACGATGCACGACCAGCTGACTGTGAAGATCGCCTGTATAAAGTTAGGCCAATTATAGACTCATTAGTGGGAAAATTTAGGAACACATATATCCCTGAAAAGGAAATTGCAATAGATGAAGGAATGATCGCTTGGAAAGGACGTCTTATCTTCCGAGTATATATGCCTGATAAACCTGATAAGTACGGTATAAAGGCTTATTTTGTTTGTGAATTGACAAGTGGATATATTTGGAATTTTGAAATTTATTGCGGAAAATCAAGACCTATAAAAGAATTAGCTGTCGATCTGTTGGGGCCACAGCTTCTAGATAAAGGGTATCATCTCTACCAGGATAACTATTACAATAGTGTAGAATTGTGTGAGACGTTATTACAGAGAAATACCTATGTGTGTGGAACCTTCAGAATGGACAGAGGAGCTCCCAAAGAACTAAAGAATGATGTAAAAAANAACAGTCAAGGAATGAAGTGGATGACGAATCTATTGCATCAGACTCGAGTGCAGTCACGCCTCCGCCCGCGACCTTGAAAAGGCCACCAGTGAAAGACCCAGAAAATCGTCTAGAGGGTGGCCTGAAAGTTCACAAAATGGTCCATGTTCCTCCCAGTAACAATAAGAAGAATGGTGCCATGAGAAAGTGTCGAGTGTGTGCTAAGCACAAGATTACAAAAGAAACAAGTGTCATGTGTGCAAGCTGTGGTGTGGCTCTCTGCAAACTTTCATGTTTCAATGTTTATCACACGAAGAAAAACTATTAAAAAGGTATGGAAAGACATTTATTGCATAAAATATTGTATTTTTAATAGTTCCTGAAAATTTCATTTTTAAAAACCAATTTTTGTTGAAGTTGTTTAGAAAAAAGTAAGCACATGCATCTTAGCGACATAATGTTTAAAGGGCCTGCCAGTACAGGGGTGGGATTTAAATACCCTTCACGCCAGTCAAAGAGTTAATTCATTACTATTCTGAGTGCTATGGTCCTTACACAGCAGAAGTTAACAATTATGACATCCCCCACACATACACCCATGCTACTCTGATACACCACAGTCAAAATCAACTATGAAATGTTCCTATTGTCTGGGATATAACGCCATGTTGTCTGCTGAAAGTCAACACATGTTTCAGAGGAACATGGCACCATCATCTTCAAGGTTGTGACAAGTTTCTTGAGAACAAGGATTACCACCTACAAAACTAAACAGTGTCACACACCAGAAAACCACAACCTTAATTTTTACTTCTGCAGAGACCTCAAATCTCATCCAAAACCCTTCTAGAGCAAGTCATTCTACATTGAAATAAATGCAGAAAATTCAACTCCACTTTCCTCACTCACCCATCTAAGACACTGGCTCTTCCTCTGTATCGGAACTTAGAGCATCAGAAGTGGGATGCATTCCATGGGACTGAGATTGTTTCCTGTGGCGCGTGTAGATTCTGCTCTCTTCGCCAGTGTGCCGGAAACTAATGAGTGGGTGAAGGGCAGATCGCAAGCTCCAGAAGAGGCGAGGGAACAGTATCTCCTGCTGTGCCAACAGTTGTTTCACACGATGGCGTTCCTGAAAACAATATCACCAGTACAAAAGGATGATCTGTGTTCTGAACTCAAGAATTTTATATATTATGGTGGCAGTGTTATTTACCACTTTGGAATGTTTCTTTTTAATTACATTAAAATGCAAGTTTAGGTTGGATGTTACAATGAATGTACTTTCTTACTGTTTCCTCTAATGAGAAATTCTGTTGAATTGTCCACACAGTGTACGAATGTGTTCTGTATAATTCCCACAGTAAACAATGGTTATTTCTCAAAACAGCGTTGATTGGCTGGTATTTGCAATAGAGACATTATTTTCTATAGGGCAGAAAGTGAATTTTTAAATATTATTGAAATGACGTTTGGGCTTCAAAGGATTTGCATTGTAGAGGAGATGTAAGCACACAAAAACACATTTCACACTTAAAGCATGACTTTAAGTGTACGCTGCTGCCACCACACGTTTCATTATCTTTACACATCTTTAAGTTAAATAAGCAACTGACCCTGTGGAAGAAAATTGAAACAGAGCCACAAAGAGAAAGAGAGATAAGACACGGGAGATGCTGGAGGCTCTCTCATAAAAATGAACTGCCTCAAGGATTATACCAAAACCTCAAAAGATAGGTTTTGAAAAGGCTCAGTCAGGTATATGACTGAAGCATGTATAATGTTTCATGTGAAAGCAGAGTCTGAGGCTCATAAAAGTAACTGCAGTGCTTGAAATCAAAGCACGCAAGACAATATCCTGTTACTTAGAATATAAGACTCATCCAGTTTTTGAATGTGTGTTTTAGGGGGAAAGATTGGGTGCACATTCCTCAAATTTAAGATGCACCTCAATTTTTCAACACGGGAAAAAATGTCTTTGATTCAAAGTAATACGGCATATACATATAAATTCAGGATCACTTCTTTGCATGTCACCAAGTAATCAGACTCATTCAAGTGGTTATCACTTCTCACTTGTATTTGGGACATGCATAGTTTCAATCTTGACAGGTGCTGACCTTGAATCTCGGGTGGGATACTAACTACTCTGATTCCTTCAGTCCCTTGAGGGAAATGCTGGGATAGTACCTCAGTTATGTTATAACTACTTCCTTCCATATCCTTTCCAATCCACTAATTTTCCTACCTTTGGATGCTACATGGCCAGAGCTAATGACAGCATTATTACATAAATGATATGTAAATCTTTGCATGTTCTCTGCTTACTTTTGGTGCATCAAAGCATGCAGGACAGTTCTCTGGGATAATTGGGAGGTTTCTGCTCTCAGCGAATTGACGCAGCGTCTTCTCTCGCACATACACAAATGGGCGAATCACACGTAGGTCACGTTCCCTGCAGGGAAACACTGTATCAGTATATTCAGTCACATGATATTGCCCATCATATATCTACTATACATATACATATTCTGGTGGGGAAGCCAGAAAGAAAAGAGACAACTGGGAAGGTGACATAGCTGAGGTTAGGGACCAATGGAGGGGTCTTGAGAACATGGCACTCAATCTTCAGGTTCCATCAAATGTTGGGAAATTACCGAGTAGACTGATGGCTTCTCAAGAAGGACACAGGACCATGGAGTTAGTTGATTAGTCTCATATATATATATACAAAGGACAAGAGGTAAATTCCTTGGCTTGCAAATTAATAATCATTTAAACTGGAAAAACCACATCGGTCAGTTGATTCCAAAGCTAAGTAGAGCATGTTATGCAGTTAGATTCATGTTACATATTAATTTATTTTGCTTACTTTCACTCTTTAATGAAGTATGGAATAATTTTCTGGGGTAATTCATCTGACAGTAAAAAGGTATTTATATTGCAAAAGAAAATTATTAGAATCCTGATGGGGGTCAAATCCCATAATTCCTGTAGAGATCTATTTAAGAGACTACAGAGCTTAACTTTTCCTTGTGAATATATGATGAATTGATGAATATATATATATATTCATCAATAAACTTCTACAAATAATGAAGAACTTTTTCAGATAAATGCAGATGTACACACGTGTTAACATAAGACACAAACACTCTCTTCATAAACCAACTGCTAACTCCTCATGCTTTCAGAAAAGAGCATATTATGCTGGGATCAACATTTTTAATAACCTGCCATCTGATCTGAAAGGTCTTATGAATGAAAAGGCATGATTTAAAATAGCACTGAAATGATACTTAAATACACATTAATTCTACTCTGTTGATGAATACCTGTTGTCTAGAAAATAACTTTCGTATCTTTAAATAGCCTTGTGTGTAGTCACTGTGTATTCTTGGTTTCTCTTGTGTGAGAACTCCACTGGGATTGTGCATATGTTTTGTATTTATATGACATATTCCACATCCTACAGTCATTTTGACTAACTTTGGATCCATGGAGTGCGATGCAATGCAATGTTTTCAAGACTATGCACTGTAAACAACACTCAACACTATATAGAGGTGAGTGGATAGCTTCAAGCCTTCTCCACTTTCCCTGTCAGGAAAAAGCCCCTTTCACGAGGCTTGGTGGGACCTAGAGGCAGTCTGGATGCAGCAGCAAGGAAAATTTTTGCCCACGCCAGAAATCAAACCTGAGTTCTCCAATCTATAGCTAATCACTTTAATGACCACACGCGCACACACATATGAACATCAGGTCTCAATACACACATGCATGAGCGCGCAGCCAAAACAGCATGTGAGTAACAGGACACTGTTTCTTTCCAGTCTTCTCGGCTATGACGCCATTTAGCTTCTTAAATCAGTACTGACATTTTGGAGGAAACACTGCCTCCATTGGCATGTCAGAAATACCATGTATTCCTGCAAAACACTGGTACCCACCTACCAGACTACATATGACATAACCCAGAACACAATTGGAATCTTCAACGTAAAAACATCTTCCTTGCTTCACAGGGTAATGAAACAGAACATACAGAGCTTATTGTTTGAGAACATATTACTGTTCAGTACCTAATGTAATAATGTGCCTTCATGGATCTAAGTCTGCCATTATGAAAAACAGACATGAGAAAACTCTCGACGAGATCATCAAGATGTTGTCCCAAGGCCAGCACATTGTAGCCATGACTGCGGGCAGCTGCATACAACCTTCCTCGCTTCATGCGGCTGCAGAAGCTGCATACAGACTTGCATCCCTTCTCCAGTGCTGCTGCTTGCTGCAAGATAGCTGTAACATGAGGGACATCACAAATTGTGACAGTTCTAGACATCTGTTATCATTCCGGTCAACAGGGATGTGATGCTGAAGAGTCGGGCAGGGCATTACCAAAATTTTGGAGGAACTTTCTGCTTCCACCTTCATGGTAGAAGAGTAAACTAAGCTCAGAACAAAGTGGTATGAACATAATAGAGAGGGTGAGGCCAGGGCTGGGGCCCTCAGCAAACCAACAGAAGACAGGAGAACAGTGTAAAATACTGGCTTGTTAAAGTGTAATTTTTCAATGCTCAGCTACACAAAGGTACTTGTTACATTTTTCAGCTCCTCCTGGCAAGATCCAGCATATTAATTTAAATATGGTCATGACCATTTCCTTTCTATCCTTTTAAATTCATCATTGACTAGCCATCGTATCATTCAATGCTCTATATTTAATAATTACTTCAGTGGAGACTGTAGAAGCCCAAAATGTGATAAATCCAAACATTCTTAAACAGCAATTTCACAGTGGACCTTGATGTCGATACACTTTCAGAGCAGCAAATACCCAACCAGTATATGCAGTTACCTCCTTCAGTACATCAACTGCAGTAAATGAGGACACCCAGGGCATGAATCAAAAGCTATGAACTGACACTCTGTACTGGCTTCTGCCGTAATGGTGAAGTTCCAATGCTGTGCATTCATGGTTCAGGGAGTAAGCATTACTGCTGCATTGTACAAATTGTTTTCTGGTAACTCAGGTTCTCACACTGTACCCACCTTGCTCCTCATAAAGATAATGGACACCCAGTGCCTGGAGGTATGGTACTAATGGCCGTGGATCATATGCTGAGCTGCCGGGGTCTACTGTAGCTGCCCCAAGGGTGTAATGAATCCCCTTGGATTTAGCATAAAACTGGTACTGATGAAGTGTGTGGAGGAGGCTCAGTGAGTCTTTGCCTCCCGACAGACACACCATCACTCGATCACCATCACGAATCATGTCAAATTCTTGGAGTGCCTGTCCAAAATACCAACACATACAAATTAATATCTCTGAGTACTAAAAACATATGTTATATCTTGCAATTTAAGAAGCTCTGAGAATTTGCTTTCTATGAGCAGGACTCAGATTTTAAAATAAATTCTTTTTTTTTTTCCTTGGCACTACAGCCCCAGTGGGCCTAGGCCTACCTCCATGAATTCCGTTCACTTCGGTTTTTCTAGATCTTACACATACGGTAGGACTCCTTGGGCGAGTGATCAGCTCGTCGCAAGGCCTCTACCTGTAGACAAACACAGAAAAACGCACACAAACATCCATGCCCTGAGTGGGATTCGAACCCATGATCCCGGCTTCCGAGCGAGTGAAGACAGTGCATGCCTTAGACCGCTCGGCTACCGTGACCGGCATTTAAATTCTTTACACACACTTAATTTATATCTGTATGTTAATTTACACAGTAATTAGTGTACTTGCATGAATGAATGAATGAATGAATGAATGAATGCATAAATGGTAGGCCCTTCCAGCCCTTGCAATGTGATCTTCAATGATCTACTGTGCTTAATTAGTGTGCCTGGATAACATGGCTAATTTCATGTCATCTTAACCCAGTAAGAACTTTATCAAGTGAGGTGTGAAATGACAGTAGCATATATACACTACTTCTGGCCTTACAGAACCCCATCTAGAATAGCTCCATCCAGTACTTGAAAAATATTACCTGTTATGCCTTGAAACTTCATGTAAAACCATACCTCAATAGCTGGTTTCCAGATTGATTTTGGTGGGCAATGCCATCTGGCAACATGGTCAGCAGGTGTAACTATGTTACCTACAGGCTGCTGGGCTTGTGCCTCAGATGACATTTCTGCAGGTACAGACACAAGCTGCTGACTGGTAGTAGCGAGCTTAGCATCACCTCCAACACTGATGCTTGAATCAGACAAACTGTTTGTTTTGCGAATGTGAGTGCTTGTCAATTCACTGCTCCTTTTTTCAGTTGTGCCATGTGATGATGAATCTGACTCTTGGAAAGTTAAATTGATTCCACTGTCCTGAGAACTAATGCTATTTATTGTAGAACGCATCTGATGATGCCGTCTGTTGTCTGCTGCAACATCATCTTCCTCCTCATCAGTTTCATTCGAACCAGTCCCATTATCAGCAGTCTGACTTTTCTTTGGGTCTGCACTGAGTATATGCACAACAGTCTCGTCACTAGAGCATTCGCTTGAGTGGGTTCTCTCCCCACTCAAATCCCCTAATTTTGTATTGACACATCCTGCAATGCCAGGGTGTGTCCCTGGAGTATCAACCGGAGAATCTGCAGAAGATGACTTTTCTTCATGACTCTGAGCATCAGGCGAGATGAGGACATCAACTGCATTCACCATTTCCCTAATTTCTGACTTCATCTCAGAAGCCATTTCCCTGGAGAATTCCATCAAATATTCGGCTACATCATTTGCAGATACTGAGTCACTTTTAGCAATTTCACCTGAACCTGAATGAAGTTTGTCCATTGAGGAACTGGCAAGGTGTTGATGAAAGCTACCGCAAGTTTCCCCTGCTGAATCTGTACTTTCCGACAAAACATCTTCTACTTTGGATATCACTTCACGTATCTCTGATTTGATTTCAGTTGCTAGTTCCTTTGTAACTTCTTTTACATATGCTTGAAGGTCTTCAGGACTCTGGGTCGAGACAGATGATGCAGTGGGTGAAGAGCGACCTGCCACATTGCAGTCAGCGGCAGATAATGTGCTGAGCTGTAGAAAGTTCAAGCTTGACGTTGACTCGACTTCCAGGGAGCTGAGATCAGTCTGACTGCTGCAGCTACACTGCCATTCCTTCATGTCTCCAATACCAAGACTACCCATTTTCTGTGGACTCAGGATTGGAGAAATGCCTGAGAACGAACCAAGACTATGGCAGCGTGTTCGAGGTGGATATAACTGCTCATTTATAATGTTCTTAGCCACTCCTGTTGGCAATTTTGTCATGACAGCAGCCGGATTCATTACTTCACCAACGGCAAAATGTAAAGGGCTTTGACCATCAGCGTAAGATTTTTGTTTATGTTTGTCAAGAGATCCTTCACTTCCACTGCTAACATTCAGCAATGGAGGACACATAACAGAGATTGTAGGTGGAGTCACCACTTCTGCTTTACCATGATCCGTACATGGCAAACTGTTATGGCGAGGGGACACGAAGTAAGTGGGTCGTGAGAGTGAAACTGAAACAGGAAGTGCACCATTAGTTGCATTCAACGGCGCAGGAAGAGCCTCTGCAACACTTCTGCGTGAACCGGAATATTCGACAGGATCAAATGGAACATCATGTTTAACATTCTGCGAGTTGCCCAACAGAAGATCTTGTGCTTCGCTTGGAAGCATGAACCAACGTAGGCGATTTGTGTTTTCATCAAACATAACACACTGATCTGCCAAAGGGTAACGCTGAGCCATCTGGAAATGACAGAAAAGAAATGTGTTCAAAAAACATGGTTCTGACACCTTAAGAAAACATGTTATGAATCCAAATGGAATGTCTTAGTTGAGGTTTTAGAATCTCACAGTGGTGGTTATGAAGAGCACTGTATTTTGTGATGCAATTTCATGTAGCGTGGTAGAAAGTTGCCTATGTGTTGGAGAAGAACCAGTGGCCTCATCTCTGAACCATCAACTTCCATCAGCACACTTGTGGCCTCCCATTTCTTTTCATCTGTTCCCCATATCTGTAACCCCACTTCCCAGCATCATTTACTGTTCCACCCTTCCAAGTGGGGGCAGCCATTTACCACACTACAAAGTCTCATACACCAGAAGATAACTGTTCACATTTCCACCACTGTGAAAATACAAATTATTTTGTTTATACATACCTTTCTTGCTTTATTGAATATGCTCCTAGCTGTATGCAGACACTCTGCATAATCCTGAGGAGGAAATGTACCATGTCCTGATACTCTTCGCTCATTTACCGTCATCTTGCCATCAACGTAGCGGATTGAACCGAGCCACTTCCTGTCTCGAAACACCTGTGAAAATCGCATACAAATTTTAAATCACAGCAGTATTGTCTAGCACATATTTGTGTAGATCTCTAGTTTTGTATTTTACATTTCCTGAGGATTTCTGTTCCTTAGACGCATCCTACTTATACAGAAAATAACTTCATTCCAGTGCGCATATTAAAATTGCACAATGAAAGATCCTGTAATTGTAATGCATGACATAACTGCTACTTGTCAGAAAAATCATTCACTGGTACTCTGAAAACAATATGAACATCCCAGTTCACACTGTACATTTCTTCTTACATTTGCAGCGTAATGTATGTACAACACCACATAATCATACGTAAAATCTAAATACAAGTAAACTGAATTAGATTGGTCAGGAAATATACACAGTCAATTTTGGCATGCCCACTTCCATTTATCTCAAAAACTGTATCCCTGAAGGAAGAAGTGGGCTGGACATAAAATGAGTCGTTCATACTTTCTACACAGCTTCTGTTCAAAACATTTTTCACTCCCATAACTATTTGGCAAGTTACACTTGAGATGCAAGCAAGTATGCTACTAGGTCTTCATTTAAAGTGTCTCTTTATTACTGCTATCTGACTGCAAACAAAACTGGAAAGAGTCGACAAATCTTAGCAATCTCTTTAACACAACATTTAATTAAAATCCAAATAATTCTGTCTTTTGGGATACAATGAAGATCTTTGCTTGTTGCCCAATTCATCGTCGTTTCTTACTTAACTTACTCTTTGACCCTGGCCATGCTCACAGCTCAGGTGGTTAGTTGCCGGCTTCCCACCATGGCAAACTGGTTCCAAGCCCAGGTCAAGTCATGTGGAATTTGTGGTGGACAAAGTGGCACTGGAGCAGGTTTTCTCTGAGTACTTCAGTTTCCCCTGCCGATTTCCACCTACTGCTCCACATTATTCATCATCATCATCATCATCATCATGTATCATCCAGGGCTGGTACAATAGGCCAATTAGTGGCTCACATACCAAGTGAACACACAGTCTTCCCCCCCCCCCCAAGAAACTTAGAAAAAACTCTTTGACCCTGAAGATAGAGGCTGTAGGTTCACCCAAAACAATGGATGCCATTCACCAGACTACACATTGTTATAATCTCAGAAAATTGAATTCTTAAAATTCACTTCCACTGTTCTGAGGACTTCAAACCCAATATGATGAAAATCCAGTTAGCATTTCTGAAGGTGTTACATTCTGGGAAACATGGCAAAGCCAGAAAATGCATGTTTTCATTGTTTTATTCTCATTGCAGAAAAGAAAGGAGTGATGGGATAGATCACAAATATAAGAGTAAATAAATAAATAAAGTCTGTGAAATATCCTCAGTTCCTACATACTATGTTTGTGTGGTGACGCCATTCACCAGTTTCGGGATACAAGATATACTGCGGAAGTAACTTCCAGGCTTCGGTGGCCACCATCTTCAGAGCTTCAAGCACAAAAGCTACTTCAGAATCAGACATGAAGAACGGTAGGCTGATACGAGCAAAGCCAGGTCGCAGCATCTCAAAACTTGAATGCTCCTCTCTTCGCCGAAGGTGTGTCCGATCTAGACGTCTGAACACAATGCACAGCCAATAAAATTTGTGAACTCAGTGGTCCTGCTACAAGCTACAAAAAGTACTCACATCCATACAAGAACTCTTTTAGTAGAATATGAGGTTCTCACAGCGGTCATTATGAAGGACCTTCTAGGATATAACACTATGTAGTCAACCAATGTTTCAAAGGAATATGTCTCTTCCATCTTCCTGACTGAAGAATAAATCAAGGAAGAAACCAACATGAAGTAGGCAGCAAGCAAGTAGTCTCTTCAATGCTGGTCTCTGGCTTGGCTTATTCTTTGACCCCAAGGACAGAGGTGACACGGCAGTTGATTTCCAATGGGTTACACGGCATTATATTCCAGAAGGTAGACCTCTTAAATTTCTTTAGTGTCAGTCAACACTGCATGGGCAAAAGGCCTGATATACTTCAAGCAGCAAAAAAGTAATTCAAGTGAACAAATCATTGAGGCATTCATGTGGAAGAGATCAACATGACCACAAACCTACTGGTCTGTTCTAGCTTCTAAATCTTGCCTGACCATCTCTTCATTGTTCTTTCATGGCTTTATTTTTCAGTGGGTGGTACTGCCCACATATTCATATGACAAACAACAACAATGTACTTACGAATCCTCAAGCAGAACCGTTTCATATTCTTGAGCCAAATGTTCATCTATTCCCAATAAATCTTGAGCGTAGGGACCTGCGCATGCACAGCCTCCACGTGCCTGTATTCCAAACACATCATTCAGGACAGTACACACAAAGTTATGATGCAGGAAGGTTCCACGTGGATGGCGAACCATAAACGAAAAGATAGGAAGTCTCTTCACCGACTGAGAGCTACTTCCGAGAAGAATGAGTTCTGGAATGGTGCGAATGTGGGCCAGGACCATCCTGAGAAGTACACATATGCTACATGTTAAGCGGAAAGTAAGCCACTTCCTATGCTTCACTACACACAACACCATGAGGAAAAATGGAAAGGGTGGGCAGCTTCATGCCACATCCACTTTACTGAGAGAGGAAACAGTTGCTCAAACCATTTGGGTTCAAGGGTGGGTGGGCTCCAGAGCTGGTCTGGAAACAGTGAAGAACAGAAAAATCTGAGCTCTGCCTCACTCAAACCTTGATTCCCTGGTCATCCATCTCACAGCCAGTCATTATACTATGTGGCCCTGGGCTCATGTACTAACTGCCTCTGACAGGTAAAATAAGTAACTTGTCCCTTTGCTTAACTAATTAAGCACTATGCCATGAAGGTGTATGGGGGAGTGGATGTATAGACCCAAAGTTTCCTCTGTTTTATCCACAAAATGAGGGCCTCTGACCTGGATATCTTCTCCTCACGTGCCATGATAGCCTGAACCCCTATGGTCTCTTTGAGCTGCATTACAAGTCCAGCTCTGACGGACTCCACCACAGCCGCGGTGCCACCCTCCTCTCGAAGCTCTGTGTCCTGCAAATAGCGGTGACTGTCCCGTGTCACAAAGAACACTGTGCCCCCTCCACAGCCGTTTGGCACTGTGTTCTTAAACAGAGCCTTCTTGGCAATAAGTATACCTGGAAACAAAAGTAAAAACAAACAGTGAAATGGTAGATACATGTTATCACTTACGTTTAACATCCAATCTTACTTTATTTATGACGTTTTATCAACTGTACATGTTATGTAGCACTGGATGTCATGATGTATGAGTGGACCAGCACACGTTGAAAGGAAGGAAGAATATGAGAAGCTGCGGAAAAGAAGCATGACAAGTTAGTGTAGAAACAGGAGGAGAATGAAAGAAAGGGGATTAATTGATAAAGAAGAAGATGAAAGAAAAAAGGGATAATAAGGGAATATCAATGTCCTGGCTCTCAAAAGGGACAGTCTTTGACCCTTTCAGGATGAATTCCAACTAAATTTGCATCCAGTGCTATTTTTGTTTTCAATCTGATGCTATATATACTTGTTATACATGATATTTAACTCTTCTGTCCTGAAGATGGAGGCAGTAGGTTCATCCATCTTCCAGAGTACATGGCACATCCCAGGAATCTACACAATAAACCCTTGCTAATCTGAGTTAAATCGGGGGAGAGGTCATCTGGATTAAGCAATAATCTGGATTACTGAAGCAAAAAGTAACCCCCCCTTTCCTAGAAAAACTCAGAATATAAATAAATGCAAAATTCATTGATGTAAGGAGTGCTGATGAAAATAAATTAAAAAAATATCACTGTAGAGCCTTTATTTAAAAACTATAAAAAGGCAATACATTATAGGAAGTGTCATGTAACTTTGAACAAGGTCAAGAGTAACCTTGAATGTGCAGAAGAAAAATTTCAGACAAGGGGGTGGGTGAAAGTGGAAGAACATGTGTTAAGAAACTCCTCCCACCACAAGCTATGCGCGGGATTTGACTGGGAATGCGTGGCCTTGTTCGAAGTTACGTGACACTGTCTATATTCATCAACAGAAGACTCAGAAGTTGTACTTGTTTTTGAATGTAATAATGTAGGTTTGAAGAAACTGTCAAGTTTTGTCCACTCAGACAAGTCCTTCCTACATCCCATGTGTCTTCAAAAACATGTACTCAACTGTGAACAGGTTTTTCATTTTTCATATTTCAACCTGGATTATCCGATGGCATCTGGATTGACTGTAAACTGATTAGCAAGGGTTTACTGTACTACTGTTGTTAATTTGTGTTACGTGTTTGCTTAGCATTTGAACTTCCATGCCCCTTCATAAATGTGAGCTGAAAAGGCAATAAACATTTCTGCTGGCAAAAGTGAGTGAGTGACAAGACAAACAGTGGTGGAGGTGTTCGAATCTTGCATGAAGCATATGTCAGCACTGGAAGGAGGGTTGAAGAGTGGGATACATCACAATTGCCTGGAGGGGATGAATAAATATATGAAAAAACCAGCAAGGAGAACAACTCTGAATCAAACCAAGGATCTCCTGCAAATGAAACAGGAGTGGTAACCACTACTCATCAGAGCTGAATATGAGGTATTTACTTCACATCTCGTACTACCACAGATAAAATCCTGGGGTCAGTTATCCTGATAATGGTCTTGCAGTGCTCAACACTTGCTTTGTGCAAATATTAAGATGGTAATTAAAATTGACCCTGATAACTTTCAATCCAAAGTCTTCGTAACTTATGATCACGAAGCATTTTATGACCCAGAAGGCTTGCAGTAGAAGTATCATATGTAAAATTCTCATTTCCAAGATAGAGGGCAAAGATATGATGGCGATAAATCATACATACAACATTTCAGGAGTTGGCTCTACTCAAGCACACGAATAGTTGCAATATTAACACAGTATACATGATGCCCATACAATCCTTAGGTATACTTACATTAACATTACTTCTTTTTGAAGGATACAACTTATAATGAATGCACAAGAATGCATAACAGCAGTATTGCTTTGAAACAGAGGATATATTTACACAAGAGTCTGAAAGGAAATTTTCATGAGGTACAACCAAGTCACAAACCAAATCTTGATATGAACAATAACAAAACAGAGAATTTATGGACACACTGTACTTTAATTTTTTCAGGCACAATCTAGAACCAAACTGGCTATCAAATATATGCTGTAAGCTCAATAATGCCTTGGTAATGAAACAGCAGCCGTTTGGAATATACAGTGAAATCCTGATTTATGGTCTGTCTCGGGAGCAATGAATTTGAACACTAAAATGAAGAAACTCTTAAATGCAGGGCACTTTTCACACAGATTATGACTTTTGACCACTTAAATCAAACATTAATGTAAGGGACATGTAATGTGGGTTCCACTGTATATAGAATAATATTATATTTCATTTTGCTTTTGATGAAGTTAAAAGCACTAGACATTGAAACCTGGCATAATAATAATGTGAGCGATCAGAAAACCTTAAGGGAGAAGACCTCTTGCAAGAAGACCTTGGCACAGATGGGAAGACAGACAATGTGAAAATAAACCTTAAAGAAACAGAGTGGAAAGGTGTCAACTGGATTCATCTGGCTGAGGATAGTATCTAGAAGCAGGTTCTTGTGAACATAGTAATGAACCTGCAGCTTCCACAGAAAACATAATTTTTTCATTAACCCAGTGATTCATAACTTCCCAAGGACTCTGCTTGCTCCCTGGTGTTAGTTTACACTGTGTAATAACATAACAGAATATTTCATATACTCCAGATTCAATGGGCATTTAAAATTAAAAATGTCTCATGAAATATTACGTGTGTCAGACAAGTCTAAAGCTTTGTGACAAAGGGTGTCATTATGCTGAGCACACATTGGACACTGTCCATGTCATCATCTTCTCTTCAATAAAGGCACAGGTTTATTTAACCAAAATGAGAAGATGGAAAACGTCCAAAGTAAGCGTCAGTTTAATGATGTCTCCCATGACACGTAAACGTATGAACACAACTACGACAGACATACCAGCTGTTACGAATGCTCCACCTGTTTGGCCGCTTGCCCAAGGCGTAGTTAGCAAAGCAGTTTACACATTCATATTTGCATTTCATCACCTTGACAATGAATGGCCTTGAAACATGTGACAAATTTTACACTTAGTAATTTTTCATTATTTCTAGAGCATTGCAATTGGGGTGGGTGGCACTCATGTTTCATGTTCAAAAGGTCCCAGGTTCAAGTCATGGAGACCAGTTTTCATGACCAAAGATGTCTTGGCTTTCCTCATGGTATATTACAGGAAAATAACTCACATTATACCATATCCCCTTTCTTCTGCATTCTTTTGAATCCATTATTCACTACGTGTTCTACCATTAAATGATATACAGTCTGAGCTAATGAAAGCATCATTGCAGAAATCATTAGTAAAATACAGCAGACAACAGGAGCAATCAAAACACAAGTGGTTATGATAAGTAAGGTAAAGTTTATCTTGTGCTTAACTCAGTATGCACTACACCATGACGGTTTATGGGGGACTGGATGCATAGATCCACATTTTCTTGACATCGGCACTAACTGCAGGTGAGGGGTCAGCTCCACGCCCCAGCAGCTTTACCCCCGGTACCCACTGGATATGAGGTTGGGTGGACTCCAGAGCCAGTCTGGATGACGTGGAGAAGAGAAAATCTTGATCCTACCACGATTTGAACTCTGAACCCTTGGTCATCCAGCCTGTAGCCAGTCGCTATGCCAACTGAGCTATCCTGGCTCAAGTAAAATACAAACCTGGTGTCTGTACGCCGCCAACGAATTTATGTACAGAAAAAAACATGGCATCTTTGTATACTGCTCTCTCATCCACTCCAGGTAGAAATGGATTCATATCCAATTTAACATATGGAGCTGAAACAACATAAACAAATAAAATATATGAGATTTCAGGTATTCATGGAGGTGAAAATTTAGATTGTGGTCTTTTGGGTTATGACAACATACTATCTTATACATGGTTACCAGTGTTTCCCTGGGAACATAATGTGACCACCTTCATGGTAGAAGTCATCTGTTCACTGAATGTGGAAGCAGCAGATTCCTCCGAAATATTGGTAACCACCACCAGATTAACAGTGTCTTGACCCAGAAGACTAGAATCTAAATTATAATAAACCTGTTCCATTCAGTGTTTTCAGTTACCAGTACTGTATTTACTTACATACACACACAAACACACAGGATATCCATGGAGTCCTTACCTAATATCTGAAATCTTCATGGCATGGTGACACAAATTTACCTTTTGTCTTTTATGGTAACTCTAATATATTTTGCAGGATTAAACTAATAATGAGCGCACCACAATGTGGTCACTTGTCACTTAGAATCTGACTTGACGAATTTCTATAACTCTGGACAAATCCATTTGCGGCTAGAAAAAAAACACTGAGGGGGCTTCAAGGACAACCTGTATATTCTGAAACAACTGTGCTTGAATTGTTTTTATCTGACTGACAGAAACCCACATGTTCCAACAATCACAATTTATGTCGCATTGATGATAATGGTGCAAACAGATTTTACAGACAAACATAAAGAATGTGGTTTAGCCAATGGTCACCTGCAGCTGCATAGTCCCAGAAGGCAAGGGCGCCATACTGATGCAACAACAATGTAGTTGCCACATCATCTGCTAGGATACCCGTTATGTTCGATGCAGCAGAGAAACAGCCAATCAACTGCCTTCCAGTTCCCTGATGCAGCTGCAGCTGGGACTCCAAATCATCCAAATCAAGAAAGCCATCTTTCCTTTCGGCAATACGAACAATCTACAAAAACAAACAGTAACAACCATCATGAAGAGTATGGTCTTTTGGGTTTTTAACAACATGTAATTTGGAGACAGCTCTAAGTTTGACATCATATCGCCTCCATCTTCAGGGATGAAAAGTAGGCAAAACGGAAGAGCTGGTCACCTACTTTGCTTGAGTCTTGTTTGCCTTACCCTTCGACCTTGAAGATGGAGGTGTACTATCCTCCAAAACATGGGGCTCTCTCGAAACTACACAGTATTACAACTGACAGGACCATACCCTTCACAGTTTGTTGCTGGGAGCATCTCCAACAGAATATATTAATAGTAACAGGTGGGAAATCCTAATCATCTGGTCACAATATTCAGGAAGACAAAGAATATGAAGATTAAAATTCCATCAAGTGTAATAATTTTTAAACAAATAAAAATTTTTACTGCCTTATACAGTGTGTTTCACGACTTTAGTGCATAACTGCAGGAGGTGATTTCCTAGGTCTTTGTGATCAAAAAAGTTCATATAAACATGTGTCCGATTTTGGATGGTTACGGAGTTATGACCATTTTAAACTCAGAATAGAAGGTAACGATTACTGACAATAAACGGAACAAAATAATAAACCAGCATAATACATGATACATTTAAAGTATGAATGTAAAGTTAACTTCGTGAAATTACCTTTAATTTGAATTTATTGGTGCTTAAAGCTGATTTTCGAAAATGCCACCGCCGGCCGCAACACAGGCTGCCGCGTGGTTGTGAACCGTGCGGGTACATACCAACCGACCATGCCTTAGGTGCCTCTCAAGTGTCAAGATAACGAGAACGCTCTGTCAGTAGCTGGCTAAACATAGCGACCCGCAAGCTGACAGACGCGGTTCACACGAGGGCGTGTACGGGAATGAACAAACGGTCATAACTCCGTAACCGTCCAACATCGGACACATGTTTATATGAACTTTTTTGATCACAAAGACCCAGGAAATCACCTCCTGCAGTTATGCCCTAAAGTCGTGAAACACCCTGTATAGTTTGGCCTTCTGTGGCCATCTTCAAGAGGTAAACCAAAAGGAACCGACAAAATTTAGTCTTAACGTATTAATAAAGTGTCATGGTCAGGCTGTCCTGTACATATGAACATGGGATCTGAGGTTTTCATGATGATGCAAATTCAGGTTGTGATCTTCTGGGTTCTGACAACATACAGTCTGGTAGATTGGTACAAATATTTCAGAGAAACACAGTGCTCCACTTTCTAGGGAAGATGGAGGTGGTAGGTTCCTGCGACATTTCACATCTCTGACTACACGAAAACCTCATACGTGTTCTGCTTATTTAATATGATGAATTTACCAATGGCCCACAGTAATTTTAGCAACTTTACAGCAAAACACTAGACATGTCTGACATAAGAGAAACAGTGCTCCCTAGACCTTTCTGGGGCACACGGCAGCAATGCTACGAGCCGGAAGGTCATGGGTTCAATTCCCCATGAGGTCACTGGATTTTTCAATTGACCTAATCCTTTCAGCCACATTATGGCCGTGGGGTCGACTCAGCCTCTAACAGATACGAATTCCAAGGGATAAAGAGCGGCCGGTGCATAAGGCTGACAACCTCACCACCATCTGTGAGCCGACAGTCTAGAAACTCGATGTCTCACAACCCTACGGACCTCCACAGCCTGTTACAAGGATAGCTTCACCTAGTTCCTTCTGATGGACTCAACTAAGTAGGATACTCCCCGCCTCCCCCTGTTGCGCCTGATGATGGAGATAGATACAGTTCCTGAGACACTGTATATATTAAATATACCCTAGACAATGGACAATGTCCAACATAATACTGTCCAGACTGACAGCACTGTTCAATGAACCTGTGACTGAAGCAGACCCACCTTGGCATCTTTCTCCCTCCATGGGAGCAGGTTAGAGTGGTGCTCACAGGGTCCAACAAACACAATGGGAGGCTCAACCAGGTTGAGTGCATGTATGAGCTTGTGCACAGCGCCGGTGCAGCCATGGCCAGCGAAGATTACGGCATCATGCTCAGATGCGTGAACTGCATTTCGGAAAATGTCCCGTGCCTCATGCCTGCAACAATACAGCAAGGGTGATGTGATTCTGTGTAGTCTCTTACAAGTTTCTGGACGTTTCAGAGGAACATAACAGGGTCAAAAGAGTGCTCCAAGGAAGCAAAAAAGGAGGAGGAGTAAGTCATCTAAAGAAGTCTACTCCTTCACTCCCTGATGATGAACTATATCCTATGAAACGTCGGAAATTTCTACCAGACTATACGGCGTCAAGTCCCTCTTCATAGTCACTACCACATGAACCTGAAATCAAAACAAACATTTTACATTATGCTGGGGGGAAAATAAAACTGTTTAGTATCATAACCCTATCAAGTGCAGTGGTAACTATATGTACCGTCTGGAACACTAAAAAACTCTGCTCTTCTAGAGTTGTTTCTTTACCTCACTGTACATAATCTATACCAATGCTGAGATCTAGGCCAATTCTCTCGTACTTACATTAAGATTCTTCTGTATCTATATGTCTCGGCCACTAATTTCTAGCCATTATCAGGCAGTACTTATAATCGTACAGTCCCCTCTCAACTTTCTCTGCTATCCCCCTTCCACTGGGCAAGGTTTACAATTGGAGGTTGGTAATGTTGTTTACAATGCTGGTTTAAACATATATTGCAAATTATATAATATTTTGTCCTAATTTTCCGAAGGGGTATCTCTTATTTGCAATACAAGCGTATTCCAATTTTGTATGAACCTTAAAATTGTAAGATTTGAGGTTTTCACGGCGGTTACTATTACGAATGCCGTCTTCTGGTATGTGGCTCCGTGTATATCTTGTGTGAACCGACGTTTCGGAGGAAAGTATCGCAGTCTGAAACCACCTGCTGAAGCTGGTTACTCGCTCGCGGATTTTTCTACCGTGAAGATGGAGGCAATACGTTCCTCCGAAACGTCGGTTCACACCAGATCTATACGGCGCCACATCCCAGAAGATGGCATTCTTCAACCTTAAAACTGTTTTCATACAGCTACTTTGGTTTAAATTAAAATAGATAGGTTAACTTGAACTAGTTAAATAGATCAATACTGGTCAATTATTACTCTTGTTATTACAATTTTGTTATTTTTATATTTATTTTATTTATACGTGTAGCCCTGGGTCCTGTGTAATGATCGTTTCTCTGGTGAGCACGGTAGTACCAGGTTCTCGTATCATAGTGCTATTCCACGTCACACACATACGCGTATTTTCGCTTTTTATATGGCGATTTGTGGCCGAAACAGGCCGTAGTGCAGAAACCGTATAATTACCTTAGAATTATACATATACTGAGATAGTTCGAATTGTTTTGCGTGCCCTCATGCAGCACTCACGACTTACATTCATCATAATTTAACCTCTTCGCTGTAGAGACCACAAAATTACCTTTTCAAATTATACACTACAATCGGCCCTTGGTCTCAAGTCACTATGTGTTATTCTCCCCCATAAATAATGAATCTCTCACTATGTCCAATTACTTGCCCTCTTCACCGACTTGTCACCTACTGTCTCACAACTTAGAACGTAACGTAAATTAAGTTCTTTCCGGTACCGAGTTTCTCTAAGGCCCTAGTTAATATCCATGCACAAAAANGAAGTTCTTTCCTTGAACGGGAAGGTACCGAGTTTCTCTAAGGCCCTAGTTAATATCCATGCACAAAAATAACCTACCTGGTCGTTATGTCCCCTCGATGCCCTCGACGTTCTCTCTCTCTTCAGATTTCAGAGAGTTTTAAAGCAGACAATGGGTGATTGCAGAACAGCACGTACAAACAATACAGGATACGAAAATGGGGTCAGGGAAATACGTAAACATGCTTACATTGAATAGACGGCCTGTTTCACTTTCTGGTTCAAATATACGCTTGAGTAATGCCCATTTTTACAACACAACCCAACAAAGGAACTCTGCAGACCGGATTGCCGCAAAGCACGCGAAATTCATTCAGAACCACAGCTCATGCAAGTGGGACGGTATGCACATGGAATCCAGTTCTTTTATTTTATTTTATTTTTTAAAGGAGAGTATTCTGGTATTTATCGTTTCTGTGTAGGTACAAGACACGCGATCCGTGTGTCTGCCTTACATTCGAATCACCAATGAGGCCTAGGTTATTATCTTTACTGACAAAGATCAGTAACTTTGGGGTTACGTTCCTGGAAAACACAACGACCTTCTAAGTGACACGAAGTTAACTGACCGCACTTTTCCAAGAATTAAACTAAAATGGCTGGCTGGGAAACGTTCTGTGAACTGCTCCGCAAACCTTCAACAAAATGGAAGTCTTGCTATTTTCCGGAATGTGATGCAGTTTAGTTTACACAACACCCATATTAAGTGAGCATTATGTTCTTACTCACCGATGCCAGCAACACACATCTATAAACATAAACAAACATATATATGTGTGTGTATATATACATTTTAAGGAAGAATACAATGCCGTTTCAAGGCGTAAATAATGCTTAATAATAAAGGGCACCATACTTAAGTGCACATCTAATTTTAATAATATATAATACAGTCTGTAACCTAGCTCAGGCAGTTAGGCACTAGCCTATCAACAACAACAACAACAACAATAATAATAATAAATAAATAAATAAAAGGTAAAACTATCCCTGTGACAGGCCGTGGAGGCCCATACGATTGTGAGACGTCGAGGCTCCCACATTTTCTCTAGAGAATCGGCTCACAGATGGCGGTGAGGTCGTCAGCCTTACGCGCCGGCCGGCCGCCCTTTACCTCCAGAATGATTCCTGGTACGCATTTCTGTTAAAGGCTGAGTCGATCCCAGGGCCACAGTGCGGCTAGGATTAAGTCAACTGAAAAAATTCACCTCATCGGGACTCGAACTTGCGACGTTCCGGCTTGTAACGATAGTGCCTCAACCAACTACGCTACCGTGTGTCCATAACAACAACAACAACAACAACAATAACAACAACAACAAGGAGATTTGTAGGACTAGAAATATATGCAATAGGAGTAGGCTTCGTGAAGATTACAGCCTCCTACAATGTGACGCCGTATAGTTTGGCAGATAGACGCAAACGTTCCTGAGAAATCTGGTGTCTCGATCCCTATACTTTGAAGACACAGGCAGCAGGTTCCTCCAAAATCTGCTAAGCACATGGCATCTCAATCTCACCGCAGCGACAGCCTCAGGTCTCTAGACCTCACACGCGTTGTGTGAGCTCTGCTCGGAACCGTCTGTCTGTCCCTATTTTTTCGAATAAACTGTTCATTCAACGTAAGCATTCGGTGAACATTCATAATTTGTGGAGAACGAAGTGGCAATGGGAGCAGGTTTTCTTCGGGTACTTCCGTTTCCCCGCCGATCACAGTGGCCGCGCGGTCTTGGGCATAAACTTTCTTCGCCCGCTCAGACATTGGGATCGTAGGTTCGAATCCCACTTGAGGCATGGATATCTGTATGCGTTTATTTTGAGTCTGTGTTGTCCTGTGTGCAGGCAGCGGCCTTACGACGGGCTGATCCCCTGTCCAAGGCCCAACAAAGGGCTGCAGAGCCATAGTTACTTCCATTCCCTCTATCAGTTCTCATTCTTCCAGCCGCTTCACATCCATTAATCATCTATCATCCGACGCCGTACAGACTGGATACTGACAGAGTCCTTAAATAAACCAGAAAAACGGATTCAAAGGCCGTTAGTGTGTCAGACTTCCAGTTTGTTTTCACTGGAAAAAAAATAAAAATTAGGTTAGACGGGATGTACATAAACACGCTAACCTTTGCTGATTCACTAGCAAACAAGTGAAGGATACTTCAAACAGCTGTTTCCTCTTCTCATTAACATGCAGTCAGTAACCACAGTGTCGTTAACACTCCTGTCATAAGCATATTGATCAGCCCTTTACTGATACTCTAAATGTCCATGAATTGCCGCTAATCTAATTAAGGGTTCGTGATGAAGTGTCAGTTACGTCATACGGGGGAAATGCAGTCTGAATCAAACAGTGGAGAGCATCACGGCTTAGCGAGTAACACGAATTTGTGAGAACTGAATTCTGATGCCGTTTTCTGCACGCATGGACAACGACGCGTTCAATACAGGCTGGTAAACAGTATGATGCGTCAGCCGTTCTTGGTTCGGGCCCCGTCGGAATCCACGACCGAATTTATGTTCGTTCCAAGACCATTTGTGTTTGGAAGTGGGGGTTTCACCTTCGACCTTCGGGTTTGTTGTCTTTCTAAGTAGGCGCAGAAAACACACTGCGTCTCCATTACACAGGCCAAACACACACACACACACACAAACAAGAAAATGAAAACTAAACTATAGTAAACCCTCGCTAGTCTGGTTACAGTTAGCCCGGATGTCGGATAATCCGGATCGAAATAATGAAAAACGCTGCTTACAGTTGAGTAAGTACTTTAAAAGCCGGTCACGGTAGCCGAGCGGTCTAAGGCATGTACTGTCTTCGCTCGCTTGGAAACCGGGATCGTGGGTTCGAATCCCACTCAGGGCATGGATATTTAGTTTGTGTGTGTGTGTGTGTGTGTGTGTGCGTTTTTCTGTGTTTGTGTACAGGTAGAGGCCTTGCGACGAGCTGATCACTCGCACAAGGAGTCCTACCGTATGTGTAAGATCAAGAAAAACCGAAGTGAAGGGAGAAGTTCATGGAGGTATGTCTAGGCCCACTGGGGCTGTAGTGCCAAGGAAAAAAAAAAGTACTTTAAAAAGACACGTGACATTTTAGGAAGGCAGATGAGTCACTTGTCTGTTCAGACAAAACTTGACAGTCCTTCAAACATGTACAACATGTTCTAAACGTAAAGGTACACTTGTCCCTGTGCTTAACTAGTTAAGCATTACATCATGAAGGAGTGTGGGGGAGTGGATGTAAAGATCCACATTTTCTTGACCTCGAACTCCGACACCTCAGTTATCCAGCCCATAGCCAGAAGCTATACCGACTGCGCTATCCCGGCTCCCTTTCTGAATCTTCTATCGAGGAATAAATAAATCTGGCCCCAGAACCGGTTTGGATG